AGATTTTGATTTTCTTCCAAGATTTTATTTTTGATATCTGAAAATGACAAATTCCGTACATCATCATAACTAAGATACGAGAATCCAGTGTCTAATTTTAGAGCAGATTTTAATGATATTTCAATTTTCTTCCAGTTATTTTTTCCGTAACATAATTTTGTCTCCACAACACACAACAAAAAAAGTAACACAGTATTTTTTTTTAAAATCATTTTTAATTGGTAATGTTTAAATTGTTTAGTAATTTATAAATTTCATGATATTTTTTTTTTAAACTCTTTATATGTATTATAATTGTGTTTATTTAATTGTCATTTTCAATTTTAAAATCAGATCGCATAAATCATATGTTATAAATTTAATAAAGTATTATACAAATAATTTATTTTAATAAACAATATACTGGGCTCTAATTTTACATGTTCATTAGTAAATAAAATATTAATATTAAGTAGTTACAAAAAAGTTGCAAAAAGATATCTCTTCATATTGTCGTAACACAATAAAAGAAATGAAAACAAATTTAAAAGTAAATTGTGATGCGAAGATGAAGATGAGGATGTGGTGCCTGCTGTCTAGGTATTCACGTGCATGTTGTCGTACAGCAGTCACCGTGCTCGGCTGACACTCCGGGTTAGCTGTGGGAGTCGAAAGGCTGTTGTTACAGGAAGGGAATAAGGGTAACAACTAGGTATGAGGTGCAGACGAAGTGCAAGACACAAATACTTTAGTTATTAGGAGAGGATAATGAAGTACGAGGTGCAGACGAAGTGCAAGACACAAGTACTTCACAGAGAGAACGGGGTAGCGAGTATAAGGTGCAGACGAAGTGCAAGACACAANTCTCCCAGTTATTTTTTCCGTAACATAATTTTGTCTCCACAATAAATAACAAAAAAAGTAACACAGTATTTTTTTTAAAAATCATTTTTAATTAGTAATGTATAAATTATTTAATAATGTATATGTTTTCATTATATATATTTTTTTAAACTCTTTATATGTATTATAATTGTGTTTATTGAAGTGTTATTTTCAATTTTAAAAACCGATCGCATAAATTATATGCTATAAATTATTAAACTTTGTACAAATAATTTATTTTAATAAACAATATATTAGGCTCTAATTTTGAATGTTCATTAGTAGATAAAGTATTAATATTAAGTAGTTACAAAAAAGTGGCAAAAAGATATCTATTTATTCTGTGTATTATATTAATATATATTTTTATAATTAAGCAACCAGCAAAAATTAAATAGCGTGTTATATTTTATATTTTCTGATTTATGACAAAAAAATCTTGACATTTTCCAATCCTTTTGTTTTATAAGTCACTCATTTAAAATAAAATATGTTTTAAAACTCTTATTTATTTAGAAGTACAATAAGGGCAACATTTTTTATGAATTATATGGATATATAAGTTTTTAAGTCACTAAATAATTTCCATTGTATGTTTGGGAAGCCTTAGTAAAAATATTCTGTATAATAAGTATGTGAGTAGATTTGGAAAAAATGTATTGGGTATCAAAAATAAATATGTATACTATGATTAAGACTTGGCCGTTGCTCTCAATTCTTAATACAATTTTTTTCAAATTTAAAAAAAATTGATGTATGTTTAATATTAGTTATAATTTGAATGGTAAAAGTATAGATTCCGTAAATTATTATACTAAAATTGCAAAAAATTTCTTGAAATAAAAGTTGACATTTTTGTTGCATATATTTTCCCTTTTGGTATATATTAAATTAAAGCACTAAAATATTTTTTAATTTTTAATGATAGTGCTTAAAATAGCTTTTTATATGATATATATTATAAGGTCTTATAATTATGTGTTAGAGATGTAAATAAATTAAAAAAAAAATTTATGAAGTTTTCTGTTAAGCAACTGTATATAGTTATAACGTATCAGTTATTAAAAATATAGTTTAAAAAAACTAAAAAACACGCTTTTAAAGAACATCGAACTAAAAAGTTAAAAATAATTTTTAGTTCGATGTGCTTTAAAAGCGTGTTTTTTTTAACTATATATATTTTTACTTTTTAGTTACATGTTATGATAGTAGTTACTACCAATATCATGGTTGTAACGGGTTAAGGGGAATCAGAGTTGGATTCCGGAGTGGGAGTTTGAGAAACGGCTACCACATCCAAGGAAAGCAGCAAGCGCGCAACGTGGAGGTAGTGACAAAAAATGACAATANAAAGCAGCAAGTGCGCAACGTGGAGGTAGTGACAAAAAATGACAATACGGCAATCATTCCCCGTAATCGGAATAAATACACTATATATCTCTTAATGAGAATAAAGCGTATTAATATATAAGTTTTAATAGTAATTAAAATATATATATAT